GAGAGAGAGAGAGAGAGAGAGAGAGAGAGAGAGAGAGAGAATCAATGTTTCCATCTACTGAGAAAGACAGGAAGGGATGGAATCAAGTGCACAAGTAGAGGGGCTGGCTAGGAGAAAAACCACCTTTGTCAGTGACTGAGGGAAGAGAATGGGAGGTGATGTCAAGAGGTTTTGAGATGAGGAGAGGGGACATGAGGAGTCAATTAGGGAGAAATAAAAGTACTGTCTTGCTGTGGTGAGGGTCCAGTTGACATCACTCCATTTCTGTTCTCTAGTTCGGACCATGAAATGGACCCCTGGCTTTGGAGAAGCCACTCCATCCTTTGGGAACCCATACCGAAGGAACCAGGAAACAGGAATCCCCGGGCTCAGGAGTCCAGGACAGGAGGGTGAGTGACTCTTAAGAGGTGTATCTGTTCTTCCCAGACTTGGGCTAGAGCCTGAGCCAAAGCCAGAGGAGAAAGAAGCATGGCATAGCAGCAAGGACATTGAACTAGGAGTCATGATCATCAAGGGAATTCTGCCTCTGATGCTTACTAGCCATGTGGTCTTGGGAAAATCATTTCCCCTCTGTGGGCCTCAGTTGCTTCATCTGTAAAATGAGACTCAACACAATGATATTTAATTTTCCATGTCAGATCTAAATCCATTATCCTATCATCCTCTTTGGCACAGGGGATAGGGGAGGCATTTGCAAGAAGACTCTCCACTTCCCAGACCCTGAGGGATCTCAGATCATGGGTATCTGGTTAGTAGAAGTGGGAGTCCATGTGGGAGGGAATAGGGGATCAAGGCTGCTGGGAGCAGGATGAGCTAGGGGAATTGGGGGCAGTGATCTGGTTTATTCCACAGATCCAGAAGAGGAGGAAGGGGAAGGTTATGAGGAGCCAGATGGTGAAGAGGCTTCTGGGGCCTATGAAAATAGCCAGGACCAGATCTCCCAAGGTAATAACGGATTGCTCCCCTCATTCAGAGCCCAATCTCCTCCATGTTACAGAGCCCAATCTTCCCCCACTCAGCAACACCCCTCCCCCCTACTAGCTCCTTTTCCTTCTCTCCAAGGCATCGGATGTACGGGGAGGTCAGTAAGGGACAGTGGGCAGGAGTGTCTAGCTCTCTTTCTGACTCCCTTCCCTCCCCAGATGATTGGGGCTATGAGAATGAAGAGAAAAGAACCATGGCTGCTGAAGAAATAGAGGATGATTCTTTCTCCACTGGTAATGAGGAATTGGGGGAGAATACCTTAGGTGGCTGGAGAGAAGGGACCCTGAAGGACCAAGGAGTCTGAGGGGAACTGGGGAAAGGGATGGATAGTGCAGTCCCAAGAGACTTCTATGGAGATAAGTTTCTCACCTCTACCTTCCACTCCCCAACAGCTGAGTCTTATGAGAATGAGAACAAGGAAATGGTCCCACCTATCTACACAACAACAGGTGAGGGGAAGAACATTTCTAATTTAGGGGCTGGGAGAATAAAAGAGGAGTAGAAACGTAGGGCAGCAGGCTCAAGCACTGAAAGAATCCCTTTGTCTTTCCTCTGTAGGCTTCCTGCTCCCCAAAGGGCCTGTTTGGGACGCCTGCCGAGAGGTTTCTTCACTTGGTGAGATGTAGGGACAATCTGCTCTGACCCTGATCTCAAGGAAAGGGGAGGGAACAAGCATTTATATAGCACCTACTGTGTGTTTTTTACAAATGTTATTTCATTATTATCTCAAACCTAGTTCTGACCTTAATTAAGAATCTGATCCTTAGCGTTCCTGACACTCAATCCAACCATTCATTTAGTACTCCAATAAACATGTATGGAGTACCTACTATGTGTGGAGCATAAGGTTGGGAATTGGAGAAGATAAGAAGTTTAGATAAGACACTAGTTCCTTCCCTCGTGGAGCTTACTAAGACTGAACCTAACCACTTCTATAGTGAGATATGGGCTAGTAGCCTTAACTCAGGCTGCCAACTCCTTGAGATTATCTTGTCCTGTCTAACCTTTTTCTTTTCCACGTGCATCCCTTCATCCTTCACCTGCCATCAGGGTCTCAGTCTTATGAGGATATGAGAGGAATCCTATATGCTGCCCCTCAAATCCGGAACCTTCATCCCCAGCCTGGTCCAAGCCAGGAGGAAGGTGAGTATCCTTCAATCCTCAGCACTGCCTAAGCTTTCTAGGACCCAAGTGGTCTCTTCAGTCTCTCTCTCTCTCCCTTCCTTCCATCTCTCTTTCCTCCTTTAACTCAATCCCTTGTGCTGTTCAGATGGTGACTCCTATGAGAATATGGAAAATCCAGAAGAGGCTGATCCAGATTGGGAGGCAGGGGGTTGGGCCCCAACCTGGAACAACAGGTGAACCCCTCAACTGCAACCCCACCCCATTAAGTGAGTAGGAAACAGGCCCCCTCCAGAGGTTGAGGAGGGGAGATTTGGGAGTTATGCTGGCAAACTGGATTCTGGTGGTGGAGGGAAAGGAGCGAGGGAGGTAGGGCAGGTTAAAATGAAGCAAGAATTGTTAGAGCATTTGGGATGATGCCTGGTGTTTTGGGAGGGAAGGATTTACAGAGGGCTAGAGGGAGGGGGAAGGGCACCCACTGAGCACCAACCTCCCATTTTTGTCTTTCCCTCTTTAGGTCATAGAGACAACCCCAATTTAGCGTTCTTTTGATGCTTAATCTCTCTATCT